GGAGTTGCCCTTTGCCTCTCGCTATACATCCCTAGAAGAAATAACCTCTGTTCCGGCGCGATTATGGTTGACTGTATGTCGGCGCGGTTTTGTGCTTGGAGCGAAAGTGGCCTTACTCTGATCCCTTGTCTATGACCAAATCGATTCTTATACTCTCAATGTCGAAAACGCGGAAGTTTTTATTATTAATGAAACAAGCAGTAAAACAGACAAAAAATTTATATTTTGACTCTAAGTTAGGCAGATTTCTCTTTCACAAATGAACGCGTTCCCGGTCTGGGAGCGTTTAAACACTTAACCACCGGCCGTTAATTCAACAAGTGATAAATAAAATTACTGTTGATGCAAGTTCTTACGAACGAGCAAATAGCTCGATAGCGCTTTCCCTTGCGGCTGTTGTCCTTCTAATTTGACCAAAACTGTAGAAATCGTGTGGTTCTTCATATGCCGGGCAAATAAGGCGATTGAACCCCAAGTGTCAGCATGTTGGTGTCCGAGCACTGCCCAATAATACGGTTTACGCGGGCCTGGATGCTGCAAGCAGTGGTGGCCTTCTTTTTGGTTCCTGTGGAGCTATCCATTTGTCGAATTCTGATTGTCGAGGAGCAAGCAATGTAAACGCAGATAACGGTTTTGGCATTTGTTGCCTAACTGCAGCCGACTCGAAAGCACACTGCAGATTCCGAGGCCCTGCAACGATTCTGCTCGGCGTGCGTAAACTCCTCACAAATAAATTTGAGCGGCTTCTCCATCTGAATTCATACAAAATTGACGCTTGTGAGTTTCAAAGCTGTTATTCTTTGATAACTGCTGTTTAACGCCGAAGTGCGCGATCAGAAAGTTATGTCATGACGATTGTGAGTTTCGGCTCAGAGTACAAGACCACCCATACTTCTTTTAGAGCCACGATGCGCTTTCACAGCCTTGTGACGTCTTGATAGATGGACATCGCTGCTACAGGCATCAAATCGGTTCTGTTCTGCGTACGTGCTTCTACAAGAAGAATGAGCAACCCAAATATACACCCTCTTGATCGTCCCCATTTTTCGGAAATAACTTGGGCAACAGTTGCAGCAGAGATGTCAGTCTCGCCGGTGAGCTCGACAACGGTCCAGCCTCAATGACCAGACGTTCAGCGCTTGACTTCATCCGGCCGCTTTTCTTGTGCAGCATGAAAATTTTGGGGCCCAACTTTTTTTCCTTCCTTCTTTGGACTTCTGCACCAATCCTCCACATTCCACCATTATACGCAACCATTCACCTGCCACAGGATACATTTAAGCAGTCCACTACCACTTGCCATGCCGCCCAATTCCACGATCCTACACTAATTTTGATCACCCGGGTTTCTTTCCATTTTCTGGAGATTTTTTTTCTGTTGCTAGGAAATCCGAATTTTATGGGAGCGTAGGTAAATAAATCACCTTCCCAGAGATATAGCTGCCCGCGAGTGTGTGGCAAAGGAATCGTAATTCGCCGCGCCAGTGGGCGTCGCGCCCGCTAATGACGACGATTTTAGGTGGTATTGGTCGAGAATAGACAATGTATGACCAAAAATAGACATAAATGTCTACCATGTCCTTGTCTACATGAAATTCCGATGCTCCAATCGAAAATGAGTGCAAATTAAGGAAAGGTCGCGGCCATTGCGCGCGCGACGGAGCGGCAATTTGTGATTCTCTTGCCTGTCTCCCGTAGCCTGCACCCCTACTCATTTATTTTCCTGCCATTCCTCTACATATGTGTCCCCAGGGAATGAGATCATCTCATACACTGCTGCTATCCAGGATCCATATGGATAGTCTGACACATCCTGACTCGTAAATCATCAACGCCACGCCCTATATCCTTGTCCCCATTATGTGAGATCAGTATGAGATTTCGATTTTCCTGGATATCGCTTGGTCCCACAACTCAATCGCATCGCAAACAATTCAAAATGTCACCAATTTTGAGCGGTAGTATGTAGAAGGCTTTGCTCATTCCGAAAAGGGAGTGAAGTGAAAATCTGTGCCGAAAGGTAAACTTTCTTCACAAAAACACTACGAAAATTCCCTCTCAGCTCGTTTTGCGAATCGCAGGACCCGATGATTCTTCGCATAAAGAGTGTAGTGTTTGGTTACGATATGATTTCTCCGAGCACTCCTCCCTCACCACCTCATTTCTCGTCGCCGTCCTCAATCACCTCTTTTATCGAAGGATGAGTCATTGGAACAATAATCCAGCGGCTGACGAATACTGTGTTGTGCACTGTACGAATCGTACCTCATCGAGTGCTGACGTTACAACTCATGAGTAAAAAACGTTATCTTTTGAGTCATCTCATTCGTCCTCAAATGACTCGCCTTGCCGAGAGATACCGGAAATCTTTTTTGGGTACCCCTTTAAGCACTTTAATCGTCCCAGCCGGCACCGTTGAGTACATATCTCTCACTTCCACGCACTGCCGTTCAGTCAAATATTTATTCTTACCGATTACCTCTTCTTACCTCACTGAGTCAACGAGTTTCTTTATATCAACGCGCCTTTCTGAACTCACTTCCTTCGAATTTGCTCTGAATTGATGTTTCCTCTATATATAATCTGCTAAGTTTGTCTGTTGGTGTGTGTATGCGTGTGTTTGACCGGAAATTATAACTTCCTGCAAAAGTGCGATGCACTCAAACTGATAAGTGAGGGATCGGGCACGAACAGTACTGGTAAGTGGCAGGAACTGATAAGATACAAGAGAGGGGGGGGGGGCTGAAGGGGAGAGTCACCAAATTCATAGGGCGGACCCAGCAACGACGTTGGCTCCAAAAAGAGAAGGAGCAGGATGGAATATTGGTGGGTCGCAGGGAGCGATAACCGCTGATAAGATACCATAAGGAGCCTCAAAAGGGTAGGGTCCTTTAATTCAAAAATTCGACCCCACCAACAACGGTACATCGGTTCCAAGAAGTAAGATAGGGGCAGGATGAGAACAATATTGGTGGGTGGGGGGGGGGGGCGTAACAACAGCTGGTACTGATATACTCCACATATGTTATGATCGGACTTGCTTGCAGATTTACACTTCATATACGCCTACGCAGAGAACAGAAGGTCAGAAATGGCCAGTTTCTATCAGTTCACTCCGAGTACGCAGTGCACTCGGTCTCCATTCTGAATCGTAAAAAAGTTTAATAGAGCGCTAAACTTCAGAACAGTCATCTACCGCTTAAAGCACTCACTTCGTCGTCCTATGAGTTCAATACTTGTCCACCGACCTCAGAAGAATAACATGCTAGTTTTCTTTCTGTTTGAATCGTTCGCATTGACTGTGGATAGTAGGCGGCCCCTGTAGCTAGTGTAAGATCCGCAAACATCTTGTAAGCGAACGCTAATAATTGTTTACTTCACCCTACATGTAAAAATTGTTACTTGTATTCTTTCTTCCTAACGCCATCAAGAACGCGCACGACCCTTTCAGTACCCTCAAGTAGATTGCCCTTCCCAAATCGGCTCAGAGGGAGCGCTTCCCCCTTTCTCTAGTTCCCTTGCTTGTCCATGTTAAAGGCAAGAGACACGGTAAATCCACAAGGCCTGCAGGGTCGATACCCCCCAGCACGAAAGAATATTGTGCTCCCTAAGTAGGCGGCTGTATGGCGCCTTTTCCGGCCAAGGAGACCGTTATAGCGCTCAACCAAGGTGCAACATGCCGACCCAGACGCCCACCGCAACCGCCCGCCCACAAATGGCCGCACAGTCACATCGACGCTGGCACTCTTATTGCTTCATTTATGAAATACACTAGGTATGAAGCAACGCTATATGGATATATGAATACACCCTTGCAGCCGTGTCTATCAAAGCGGTTGTTGGCACAATGCCTAAGGGAAACTCGTCCAATGAGCTATTTCAATGCCGTGCAGATTTTTGACCATTTGGCTGCGCTTTTCCATCATTTTCCCGCTGTATAGCAGCCCTGCTTTGATTAAATACCAATTATCGCGCCTTATGCCTTCGAGTATTAGGGAGATATTGTCTAATTCACTTTGGTGAGACCTGTTACCTATTACCTATTGTGAAGCAGCGGAGTGCTACATGGGCGTCACTTTGGATTGCCTGGAACAGCAAGTATTCATAAGGTGGTCTCAAACCTCGAAAGTCGCTGGATACCGTTTGGTGCACCCAACAAGCCGAATGCCGCCGGTGGTTTGAACCCCCTTATTATGCAAATGCTGTACCTTTATGCTCCGATCAATGGGCTATGCTGCCTCTTTCCCTTTCTACTGCCTATCTCCATCCTGCGGCTATGAATCGCTTTCTTACCAGGGCACATCGTTGTTGGGGATTTCAAAAAAGGGGAAGCGTATTTGGTGGCGAGGGGATCGTATTTGGGCTGAGAAAATTTTTTTGATAGTTGATCTTTCTTATTTCAGGGACGTTGTAGAAAGGGACTGTATTTTTCTTCTGATTTTCTGAGAGAGGTTACTGGTTTTCCGTGGTATTTCCATGTCTTCCATCTATTCCATATATACCCCCCTCGCTCGACAACTCGATGAAGAGGGTTTTAGGGGGGGGGGCGTCATAACAACCCTCTAAAAAAAGGTGGGGAGGGGGTGTACGGACTTGACCAAAATCCCCAACAATGATGTGCCCTGGTTCTTACAGACTAGTTCTTTTCTGGTAAGCCTTTCAATGCGTAGGGCTACCCCATTCGTTCACTGCACAGATTCCTTCTTCCCTTTGTCGGTGTTATGAACAGGTTATGCGCGAATGTTGTTCAATGATAAGCAAAGGGCAAAACCACCGTGAGCAGCTTAGTTTCGAGTTTTCCTCTGAACCAGATCGATTACATCGAATCATAGGGCCTGCTATCGTGAGGAAATGATCCGACTCGTTTGCCCAACGCGAGGGTATTGGGCCTCCCACACCGGCAGTCTTTCAACTTTGTGTGAATGTCACTTCAGCACTCGTGTTTCCCTTGCTTTTCGTGAGGTATGAAAATTTTCATTAGCAAAATTTTTAGGCTTCAAATGCTACCGGATTTGGAGAATTGTGACTGTGATCAGGAACGAGAAGCTGAACGACAAAATTCGACCAGGAGTTGTCCAGGGAGGTAGGCGATCTTAGACTGCTTCCTTCTGAGTATATCTCAATGAGACTGCCATACATAGTGGAGTGAGAAGAAATTTCACCAAGCAGGCGTCCACATTCCCACGGACTAATCCGGTGCAAATCGCACACGATTCCAAGCCGTTCCAGAGGCTTGTCTAGCCAGCAGATACCAGAATACTTCCCCCACAGGATATAGCAGCACTGTATGAGACACATGGGGGAAGGTAGTACTTTTCCGCTGGGGAGGTGGGTCGTATTCGATCATGGTTGGTAGAGGGGGAAGGGTCGTATGTGCCTTCGAGAGAAATTTGCTGCGTGGGAAGAAAATAATTTTTCCCAGTGTTGACTTTTCGCGGCTTTCCCATTATACATCGGCTACACCCCCACTCGTCACACCAGATTTTTCATGGTTTTTCCATGTCTTCCATGTATTCCATATACCCATCCCCCGCTCGACAGCTCGATGAAGAGGGAACCACGGGGAGGGGATCATACCAACCCTCTAAAAAAAGGTCGGGGGGGGGGCTGTACGGACTTGACCAAAATAGCCAACCAATGATGTCCCTGGGCGCAGCCAAAGCCCTATAAGTCTATTTCCGGTTGTTGAAAATAGTAGTTGGTTTCTGACGACCTCTTTCCTCGCCTTCCTCCCTCCCCGGGGGAAAGAGGTCGTCATAAACCAACTAGGGGCGAGGTCGTCAACGCCTCCCTACCACGTTCCTGCGAATTCCAGGCTTCCTACCCTCCCTCTCGACGGAAAATCTGGGTGAAAAACTGGGATGTGGGGATTTTCGGTAAAACTGGTAGGAAGCTGGGCCCTTGTATAAAATTGGTAGGTAGGTGCTAGGAAGGGGGCGTGGTTCATGAGGCCCTCTCCCAGGTAGGGGTTGCACCGAGATCCTCCTTTATGGGGGGGGGGAGGGAGAAGCGTCGTGCTGACACCACCATTTCATACAGCACGATGCTCTACCCTGTTTTCACATCTAGGAGAGTAAGAAATGGGCTTCATTTTGGCAGCTCAATCTTGCCATTGTATTTTGCTGCGCAACATGTGCACAGTAGCGAAAAAAAAAACTTGAAACAAGCCAAAGTCGCGAGCTTTTTAGTTGTTTTGCCCACAGTTTTCAAACTGCACGTAAAACTCCGGTTGCTCAAAGCAAATAGGCCTGAAAAAGCTCCCAAGAAAAAGGACTGGTTGATTAAAGTCGTTGTCGGGGAGAGTTTTGAAAAATATTGCGATAAGGCACGCCGCTACCGCCTTGATGTTTTTATAGTTTCTAATGGTCCTCTTCATCATTCTCGTTCTTCCCCATTTCGTTTTTTCTGCTGAGCAAATGCAATTCCTCCAGATTCTGGTTTCAAAACAATGGCGCACATTAAGCAGCAAAACAAATTGATTCATAGTAAGGAAAATAATGTCTAGGTAGTGAGAGTGTACTGAACGCAATAGAAGCTGGTAAATTTCTAGGTCCGCTCAAAGCTCCTGCGGCTTTTAGTCACTAAAGTTTTAGCGCTCAAGTCTAAAAAACACGGTTACAGAACACTTGTCAACCGGACATGTTCTCGCTACGAGGGGCCAGAGGCATTTTTTTATCCTATGAGAGCAGGAAAAGAAGGTAGGAGGAAGAAAAAAGGAAGGAGGAGGGAGGCCTCGCGGTTAACAAGTGTCCTAAGACGTAAAAACACATCGTATGAGTCCTCAACGACAGTCAGTTGCCAGGAGATGATTTTAAATCGTCTCCGTTTTGAAAAGCATAAAAGCCCCCGCAGTTGCAATCGCCATGCCAACAGGTTGACAGATTTTCGCATAGAAACGATGCCGTGTAGTGTTGGCATTTTTGTGTTCGCCTGCTCGATAGAGACCTGCGATTCTTTGAAGCCTATCGCCTAACCTTTTTAATGTCAGAACGACTTACTGAGTGACTGGGTGACTACAACGCTTTCAGTTTCCCAGCCTCAGTGGCGCGTCGCGCCCAGTTTCCGAGGAGGTCGTTGAAAGAACTACGGATTGACGTTGGGAAGAACCTGGAGCCACTGGTGCATAGAGCGAAACAAGGCCTCGAACGGATCACCGAAGATCCGTCGTCGCCGGCTTCGGCTGATGAAAAGGTTAGTCACGCATGAGTGAACTGCTATGAGGTATATCAAAACTGATGTTTTCAGCCAGTTGCACCGCCCAGAACTCTTCGCGCTCGTGTGTGAAAGAAGCCGTGCTGTTGGCAACAACGAGTAACTTCTCCTCTATCAGTAGGGTCAGATCCGCCTGCGAGTGAGCGAAGTGTAGCGGAACGAATCGAGCAAACCTTGCACGCTCACTACTACGCAATTGCCTACACGCTTGTCATCGTTGCTGTGAGTCTAACATGCCTTACGTCTGGGAATATGTCATATTTGTGACCGCGTTCATGATTTGGTTCTATTTCAGTACCTGGTCGGATTCGGAGAGTACCTTTACTTCCGACTTGTCTCGATTCTGATACCAGAGCGTACTTACTATCATCCAAGTTGCCAAGAGAAACAGGATCGGCGAGTTGGCAAGGATGGCTTCCACTATGGCGTCTCGATCGGTGCATTCATCGCCATCGCACTATTCCAGTTATTTGTGAGTTATCTTCTGCTATTCGGGAGCTTTGCGTCATAATTCGGTGAATGGTAGAAGAATGCCTTCTAACCATAAGTTTACATCCATGTCCCAGAAATTGGGAAGGCGTGGCTGCGTATTTCATTTGAAATTGGCGCGGGAATCGTCTTTCTGGGGTGGCTACCTTTGAGATAACTGTCCTACTGCTCTGTGCGGGACAAATGTATGATTACATTGGTCGCAAAACAATATCCCATCAAATGCGCAGCAGGCTCTGCATCCGGAAGATGTACGCGGCCACGCCCACTCAGTTTCCCTTACATGAGGCGTACACTTTACATCACCGCAATTGTCGGGTCGCAATCAGCGGCTCGCACCTGCGGCGTTTCCATCATTGGTTGCTCTCCCTAAATCGATCTTTACCCGATCGCCATTGGTAGAGCAACGAGGCCGAACGCCCATTTGGACCGCGTTGCACAGCCGCCCTCCGACAGTCCGCAATGATGAGGACTGTACTCCATTGCGGAACCATTCGCGAGGATTGATTAAAGGCAGGCATGTGCTAGTGAATTCTGACTTTGGGAAAATGGGTAGAAATTGGTATCGAGTCTGCTGCTGACTATACTGCACCGCCTTCGGCTTCAACATACTCATCGAGAAGTCACTTATAGCGTGACACTTATAGGACACAACGCACGGTCAGCTGTGAGGTGCACTCCTGGCTTGTGCGGGGCTAGCGGGCCCTCCGTCAAAGCATATAGGTTTCCCTGTCCGAACATGCGCGGAGATGGGGATTCAGGATGGTGGGATGAGTTCTTTCGCACTCTCTCTAAAATGCTCTCGCGGCGCAAACGCGCTGCACACCTCTACCATATCCCGATCCCATCTATACTTACCGGTGGTCCGCGCCGTGCGAACGGCCGACAGATGACAGACGAGATCGGGACATGGTAGCGGCGTGCAGCGTGTCTGCGCCACAAGTTGCATTTCATGGCGGAGTATGGAAGAACCAGCCTATCCTACGGCCCTAGATCCTCATCCCGGCGTATGTTTGGACGAGGAAAACGCTACGGCTTCGGGGCCCTTTAGCCCCGGATAGGTGCTAGGGGGTACCTCTCAGCTGAAATGGGTCTTTAAGCGTTCTCCTCAACCGGCCAATGCGAAAAGCCTCTAGAGTCTCTTTTCGTGAAGCAACCTTTGATTGAGTTAGAAACTCACCGCGCAAGGTTTTTGGCAGGGATAGAAGCAGGTATAATAATAATAATAATAATAATAATAATAATAATAATAATAATAATAATAATAATAATAATAATAATAATAATAATAATAATAATAATAATAATAATAATAATAATAATAATAATAATAATAATAATAATAATAATAATAATAATAATAATAATAATAATAATAATAATATAGTAATAATAATAATAATAATAATAATAATAATAATATGACAACTGCTCAAGCCATAAAAGCTGTAAAGGGTAAAGGACAAATTCCCCGCCGTTGAACAGTCCCTATTTTGGGATGCGACACGCATTCTGCTTGCCAGTTCAGACTCGCAGGAGCTTATCATATGCGATGTGGCCTATATAGAGGCTTGCGCTGGCCAGCCGATGTACAATTTAGTGTTCTTATCCTACCAAACGATTCTGTTACCCACCCCGGGGAATTAGTGTTGGCTGGTTTGGGCATTAGTGCATTCGAGCGACTGGTAAGAATGTAATTACCATTACACGACCAGCGCTTCATTTGCACCAAAAACTGTAATTCGGCATGGCCGACAGGTAATAGTATAAGGTGGCTGTGGCCTAGGTTTTACATGAAGTTTTACAAGAAAAATATCCCTTCAACTGCTCAAATGTTCTCGAAATCGCTGGCTATCATTTTGTCCCAGGAAAGGGTTACTGTTGTTTCTGTCCTGTTACTGTTTCCTGAGATAGAGTGCGAAGTGCTCAACCTGGTTTACTCTCTGCAATGTGAGGTGGACCGCATTCACCTTTGACATTCCAACACGCTTTTTGTCATACAACTTGCAGAGGGCTGCCAATAGGCCAGTCAGGTTTTCTATGCCCCGACAACTGCACAGCTGAGTACTACATAGGGATTTTCTGCTTACGTTACTAATCGTGCAAACCTCAGTAGAGGTCTTTGGCATCAGTTCCTGAGCGTAGTCCGTTACACCAAATCGTGAGAATTCCGCTCTGTGAAGTTTTTTTATAACTAGCCAAATTCCAGTGTTTCTTCGCCCTAACCATTTCCGAGAATTGGACGGTATGTAAGACGGAATACAACCCGCTGAATCAGGTAGTGGGTTCCGTTCTAACATGTACAGTACATGAATTTCCTCTGTCTGTTCTGATCTATTTGAATTGAGCGTTTTATAAATATTTCCTTTTACAATTAAGTAAATATGATCATTCTAGATAGTAAAGATGCAACACGATCTAGCTGCTCATATACGCAAGACCGTTAGTCAGTCAATGTATCGCACCTTTCGTGAGTTCACAATTTCGTCCATTTCTTAGAGGCACTGGTCCTGATTGCTGTGGACAGGCGACAAACCAAGCCTTCTCGCAGCCCTTCCACCAATGACACTGTCAGTAACCGCCCGTCCCCAGCCATCGTGCCCACTGCCTTTAAGCCCTGAAACATGAGGAGAATAACCCGAATAAATTTCCTTCATAAGCATTTCAGTGTGTTATGGTATATGCTCGTTTATAAACTGCGGCATCATCTTCTATATGGTGGCCATTCAGGTAGGGTCATCAGAAAAAAAACACGGTACAATCTTCTGAGAGATGGATTTGGTGTACTGGCATGGCACGTCCGTAGCGTCAGAATAGTGTCGCGTTGGCCACTGGAATGTGGGTGTAAATGAAGCGCCATCATGGCCTGTTGTTCTTTTCGATATCGGTTGGGCAAGCCACATGACAGATTAGATGAATGTTGCGAACACGCTCGGCTACCACAGGTTCCGTAGCGAAAGCTGGTGGGGGTGATCTGTAGAGAAGAAAACTATTGTCAGGCGTATGGCTGGTAATGCGGCGTGTTGCGTATCTGCGTGCATCCGTCTTAGTCTGCTCTAATGTGTTGTTCGCTGCTGACGAAGGGGCGTGTCAGTGAAGCCGAGTTTTGCGCGCCGCCACCTTTTTTCTCCACTAGCTGTTGAAGCGACTAAGTGAAAACAACTGGTGGAAACCACTGATACGAACGATATGGTATCATCCGGTCCCTCGCCGAGAGAAGAAAAACGGGTTGGCGTTGCGCCAAAGTCATCTCTCCCCCTTGACACGCCCCATCTTCCGCAGCGAACAAAACTGTAAATAGCATTTGTCTGCAACTACGGACCTCCTCACCTCCCACTACGAAGAAATTTGCCTCGACCGTGTCTCCCAAATTAATATCTCCTCTCTCACTTTTACCTACACAAATTTCGCTGGTTTTCAGGACTCACTAGGAGATACTGTAAACACCGTGTTGATGTACGTCTTCGACGGTGTGGTCATACTATATTTTATCGCTTTTCCTCTTACCACCGTTATCTATCATCCACATGTGCATTGCTTCCAAAGGTAGGGTTTGCAAAATTTGTAATTCTAAATATATATCCAGTCTAATTATGGAGTAGTCTACCAGCATCTCTATTTCAAAGCGAAATTAATTTCCGAAGAACAAAAGGTGGAATGTCTGCTTTCAGGAGCAATTTTGAGTTATTGAGCTTTCAGGTGTTAACTTTGGGACACTTGGAAAGCCCTTGACTCTATTATAATCAGACGGGGACAAAAACTGTGTGTGATTTCTTCTAGCAATCAAATAAGCCTCCTCCCCGATGTGGGTTTCACAACGATGACGTGCACGGTAGCGGAAATGCAGCGGTAGCCCTCCTGTGTTGAATCCCGCACAGGGAAGGAAGGTAAGCACATGAATTGGCTTACCTTCCATTCCACTGTACTCATTCCACTACTCACGGATAGTGTATCTATTCTGAGCGCTACCCACTTCATGAGAGACTTGATCATTATTTACAACTGATTCGTGACTATAAGGGCGTCGTACGTAGTAAACTGTAAATGCAGTCATTATTCCTGCACACGAGGGAGTGTGTGAGGCGGCGAGTATTGGAAAGCTGCCACGGCTGCCTTTCTAACCAATTGACACCGTCCCCAGCTCGCAACGATTGTTGGAAATGGCTGCCCTCCAATCCACGTTCCGTCGCACGTTCTCTCGTTTGGGGGGACGACGACTGCACCGTTTCTTTGCGAGAGCATGATCCCAAGCTTGCTAAACGTTCGCCCATTGCTGAGGGGAGGGTGAATAGCACATGTGAAATGGGGAAAAACCGCGAAAATTCAACAACCGGGTAGTATCCCAATGCCGCGCACTTCTCTGAAAGGCAAACATGACCTTTTCTCTCCCTACAATAGGCACATACGACCTCCCCTTTCCCAGGTAAAAAGCAGGTAAAAGAAGGCATCAACAGTTTGCCGTGCATGGCGCCTGACAACCCAAAGCCGTACGATTCCCGACGCTTCATGTCTTTCATTAGTATCTTGGTCGGAAAACACCTAAAGTTCAGGGGGGGGGGCGGGAGTAACTCGATTATAATGGAAAAAAGAGATCATCTCTAACCCTTTCTTGGTCCACTTTTGTGAAAAAGTGCTCTCTTCAAGAGAAGGGAGTTCCTGAAGGCAGTGGTAAAGTCAACATTATTGCAATCATTTCACTTGATCATTCTCCTTAAAAGCTTATGTGTTCAACTCTAAACATTCCAGTCAACCAATTCGAGCTGCACCACTCCCTGCTTCGCTGATCAATGGAATTCGATCGCAGACGTCAACACTTGAGAGCAACCTGTCACAAGAAACTGCTCCCCCACCTCAACCCCCTATTGTAATCCAGCAGTCGACGATCTTCCACCACTGGAACCAATACACTATTCAGAAAGCCCTCGTCGAACTACCAGGACAAGCACTATAGTCTGAGGGCAATTATCAAAGCTCTGAAGCACAGTTTGTGGTGCAACGTTCTGTAAAAGCGTTACAGTGTAGGGATACTTTTTTGAGCCGTCCGGAATTCCGTGGCTCCGGGGGAACTATGAGGCGGTGCGACTTCCAGGCAGAGCCTCCGAGCAGCCCAGGTAGCCAGAGATTTCGCTACCTATTCATGGAGCGCAGAGGAGCAGACTTGCTCGCGCCGTCGCATCACAAAACACCTGGATGGCTGATGGTTGATTTGTCGAATCCATCTTCCACATCCTGTTGCTACATTGTAAGGAATTTCTCAATGTTTCAACTATCATTGCATTTTCATGCTTATGAATCTATTTGGTGAGCACTTTACATCATGACGGAATACTTCTCTACGGGTTAATATCAAATGTAATTAAATGTGTCATTATGTAAGGATTTATTGTGTGCCTCGTCGTCATTATCGTTGTGATATATCCAAAGAGCTGCTCATCGAAGTCTAACTGAATATTTACTTATGTGCACACTTTTCAACTAGATCTCAATACAATAAAGGTGAATAGTAGGTGTTTTCAAATGTTTCCGTTTTATCTCAAGCTATGCTTAAGAGCAGCTGAAGAGGAGAATTGAACAGAAATGTTGTGCTGCAGGGCAGTTATTGGGTACAAATGTATGGGTATGGTGATTGATCACTGCGCCATTGAAAAGAACTTGTGTGTGTTACCCAGATGGACACCGTTACACGCATTCTGGCCACTTCTTAACCGTTTGCTTCAATGTTTTGCACTCAGAACGAATTTGAACCCCCTCCCTCCAGCGACAAAGTACGACCCCCTCGCTGGGAATTCCTCAACATACGATGCAATTTGGCAGCAAAGGGCCACAATGGATCACAAGGTTGTGAGGTAGGGAAGGCTACCCAAAAATCTCCGCAGTTAGGCGTGTTTCGCCAAACCGCAAACATTTTCCACTCTTGCCAAATGTTCCTCTTCTCCACCGATTTTTTTTGTCATCACTAAACTCTCTCGAGAGCCGAGTTACTGAACTTCGCGAGAACCACCGCCGGGCTTGCCTAGTGCCAGTCGTTTCGCTCGTCTGAGCGCTCTCTCTTTGTTTCTATCTGGTCGCTCCTCGAAATCTCAACGAATCTTCACTTCTAATTCAGAGCAAGAGGGTTGCAATCAGGGCATTGTCGACTGTGACCCCTGCCCTTTCTTCGGAAGTGCATTATTTGCCACATTACTGCTCCACCAATATATCTTAAGAATAGCGTCTTAGAAGATCTTTTCAGGATTGTTCTCAAAAAGAAAGTGCGGTAATGACCAATGCCAATCCGCATGTCAACACCAAAATCTACTTATTTATTTATTTACTATGCAAGCGAGGGTGAACTACAATATGTTCGGAACTGGATGGGTTGGACAACGAAAACATTCAATTGAAAAAAAATACAGAAAACGACAAATCCAGACAAATACACATTAATAGAAAACTCTTCACACTTCAATATTCGGCACTATTCAACTATTACTACCCCAATTTTCCGAAAACAGGCCGGATCTTGATCGACTTTTTTCTACGGGGCAGATTTGGCTGAAAGTTGGGTCCAGGGGTAATTCGACCTCCTGAACACGAATATCACATCCGCTTGCCTGAAACTGCTTGGCGCCGGCGCCAAAAACTCGAAATCACCGAATTCGCTGAAAACTTGTCCCCAGGGGTAGTTTGACCTCCTGAACACGAATATCACATCCGCTTGGCCTGAAACTGCCTGGCGCCCGCGCCACAGGCGCCGGCGCCAAAGTACCCTAGATCACCAAATCCGCTGAAAACTTGTCCCCAGGGGTAGTTTGACCTCCTGAACACGAATATGACATCCGCTTAGGCTGAAACCGCATGGCGCCCGCGCCATAGGCACCGGCGCCAATCTGGCGCCGACACCTTTTTCCACCAAACTCGGTGGAAATTCACATAGTGGGGTAGTTTGATGTCTTAGTCACGAATTTCGCCTCAGTTTTTGGCGCTGGTGCCATATGCCGTCGGAGTGGGGTTATTGCGTTATCCCAATAAACGGGTTGTGATTTTGAGAAAACCAGCTTCTGAGGCTTCGATCGAAAGAAGCCTCCCCTCGGTCGGAAGCAAGTGGGTCGTGGGAATGCTTTTTGAACGTGGCAGTTTCTCACGCTTGGAGGAAGTCAGTATCGTGACTTGCGTACGACCTGGAAGCGTCTGTGGTATGCGCCTTACAATATCATGCTCCATTGCCATCGTTTCGTAACTATCTATTCAAACGATGCCGCCGCCGACTCAAGTATGGAAGAAGCTGGAAGCGCGGGAAGCTACTCTGCTTCTCTAAGCTCTGCCCGCGCGCCTCCGGCAATAGTCAGTTCGTCAGTCTGCTGTCGTCAGAGTCGGTCGCCAGAGCTCATTGTCACCTGAGCTCTTATTACAACTTCTTCGTCTCATTCCGGCCTAATGGTCCGATCTGCTACCACGTCGCATATTTCCTTACCGGTATGTCTTGTTGTTGCTACCCACGCCTTAACTTTCCTTTTATTGTTCTCATCCATTAGTAGTTATGTAGTAGTCATTTGTATGTATTGCCTTATTCCATATTGCTATAGTCAATATGAATAGTTAGTCAATAGTCTTCTGTTATGTAGCAATAACTGGTACACTTCCGGTCCATATTTATTAGGCATCATCTTTACAATCGTAGCACATATATAGTCTAGTCATAAAAGGGGGGTTGGGCCCGTGGCGGGCCGGCAGGCATCTGCCCCTCGCTGAGCATTCTAATAGCGCGACACAACCCCTCAAAGGGTGTGGGCCCTTCCAATACCCACGTTCTGCGTGGTCGGGTTTGGGGAACTGCCGATGCGCTATACCTCTCTTCCACCCGGTCACGACAGTCAGAACGTGGGAATAGCGAGAGGACGAGGTACTTTCCCAAAGCAGCCAGGTCTAGGGAAGCTGCATGTTCATCTGTGAAGTCATTTCACGAATTGTGAACGCAAGGAACTATGGCTTTCAATGCACTGATGCGCCGCAAACGCCAGGAGAATCTGATGGACTTTTCCTTAAAGGAAGTGTACGAGAAGCTGCAGATGGACCACCTCCAGTTCCAGGAATGGCTGCGATCCATGGGGCTGCTGTCCACGCCATTGTGCCCGCTCTGTCAAGGATCTATGGTCCTGAAGAACTACCTGCACGATAATGGCTGGGTGTGCCACCGTAGGACGTGCCGCTCTGGCGAAAATAAGATCTATGTGCCAGCGCGGAAAGGCTCCTTTTTTGCCAAGTCTAACCTACCCGAGTCCAGCGTGTTTGCGCTGTCTTATTTCTGGCTGCGCGACATGGGTAAGGTGAACGACAAGGCATATGAGCTCGAGATCAGCCATCACAGTGTAGTTCAGTGGGAGCAACTTTTCAGAGACATATGCGTCAAGTACTTTAGGAGGAATCCACCTGTCATCGGAGAGTTTGGATGTACCGTAGGAGATCGACGAAACACTGGTCACCAGGAGGAAGTATAATCGTGGACGACGATGCTTCCACAGGCGTATAGGCACCTCACAGTAACCACCGGCTGAATTTCGTAGACCCGCAGAGTGGAGCACACACACAGAACGTCGAGTCACTCTGGCAGAAATACAAGCAGATAGGTAAGCGGCGCTATGGAATTAACACGTCACGCTATGAGGATTACCTGTGCGAGTTCCTGTGGAAGAAACAGTTCGGACGTCGAAGCGAGGCACTCTTCAATTTCTGGGACCAGGTGGCAGCGCTCTACCCTTGTTAAACGGGTATAACATCTTGCGTCAACAACACTAACCCAACGGCCCTCTTTAGGGCCACATATCAAGTTATTCATGTGTTCATGAGTGATAGATAATAAATCGATGTCATACTTGTAATCAGTACACTAAGTAACCTCGATATACACCGAATTGGTGAAAAAGGTGTCGGCGCCAGATTGGCGCCGGTGCCTATGGCGCGGCGCCATCCGGTTTCAGCTTAAGCGGATGTCATATTCGTGTTCAGGAGGTCAAACTACCCCTGGGACAAGTTTTCAGCGAATTTGGTGATCCAAGGTATTTGGCGCCGGCGCCTGTGGCGCGGGCGCCAGGCAGTTTCAGGTCAAGCGGATGTCATATTCGTGTTCAGGAGGTCAAACTACCCCTGGGGACAAGTTTTCAGCGAATTCGGTGATTTCGAGTTTTTGGCGCCGGCGCCAAGCATTTCAGGCGAAGCGGATGTGATATTCGTGTTCAGCAGGTCGAATTACCCCTGGAACCCAACTTTCAGCCAAATCTGCCCCCGTAGAAAAAAGTCGATCAAGATCCGGCCTGTTTTCCGAAAATTGGGGTAGTAATAGTTGAATAGTGCCAAAATCTTAGATCGATGGCTATTGCTCAATTTCGGGCATTGTAGGGACAGCGAAGAGGAACGGCCCCTGCATGGCCTAAATACCCAGTGCTTCTGCTTCAATTTGCTCAACTCTCCTTTGAGTAAATTGAAGCGGAAGAAAATGTCATCAAACATCCTTCTATATCTTATAGTAATGACTCCAGGTGGAAAAGCTGTAAGCGCTCTCTAGCTAGGTAAACCGTGTGGATATAACGGGCTGGGATAACATCGGTACATTAGAATTCTGGTGAAAGTTTGTCGAACTTTTTCAACTTTTGCCTGAAGTTTTTTGTAAGGACTCCATATCTGAGAACCGTATTCGTATGGGGATGACATATGCTTTATAGAGCTTTAGCAAAGTTAGAGAATCATTTATTCGAACATTTCTGAGTATTGCAAAAAGGGTTGTGAAGGCCTTACGAGCAACAGCATCAACATGATGATGTGTGAAATCGAAATCAGAATTTACAAGAAAGCCGAGGTCACGAACTTCATTTGAAGTTCTAAGGGGAACACCATTGATTATGTGCGGTGCAACTCTAGCTGCTCCTATATGAAGTACAGATGTCTTCGTGAAATTTATAGGTATTCCCCAAGCAG